GCTGTTTTTATTTTTGATAGACTTACCAGTCACAGCTGGAGCTGCTTGCTGTGTGCCATTTGAACGAATGATCGACATCCAATTTCTAAAACCCCCCAAATTATTACATAAGCTCTTTCATAATACAGATTGATAGGAAAGCATGCAGAAGGGACTCTGCAGTCATTTCCTCACAACCGCGTCTCTTCAGATATTTTCTCTGCTAAACGACCCAGTGTCCTCACGAGGCACTAAACGTGAATTCACACCATTCCCTCGGAGCTCGACACTCCTCCTAGCTGTGGCTGGCTGGGTATGTGCTTGAAATATGGTCTTGACCCCCCCCCCCCCAGCAGCCAGGAGATCTGGAATCTGGTCCTTTCTCTGTCACCTGCTGCTTGGCTCCATGATGGTCCTGGTCTTGCTTCTCACCTCCCCAATTCTTATCCTGAACCTTTAATCAGAGTTTAGGAAAGCTACCCAGACTTGATACAATGCAATGGAATTTCGCCATTATGAACAAGCTATTCATTTTTCGCTCTGAGCTCAGGTGCAACGCTGAGAAGCCTGGTTCTCTGCATACAGCCTCATTGTAGACTTTATCTCAAAGAAGTTAATTCTTTCTTGCTATTTGCCACCTTGCTGACAAGCAACATCAACACCCTCATCTGGGAATTATTGCCTTTTTATTTTCCCCTCCTGATGCCAGAGTAGCTGTTGACAATCTGTACTCAGGCAAAGCAGGGGCTGCTGCCTCTCACAATCAGATGCTGCACACACCACTTCCGTCAAAACAATTAGTGTTCATTTCGGCTTTACTTGGGGAGACCTGCGGTGACTGATCAGTATAAATTATGGATGCATCTGTCCAGATGCACTTGTTCATTCATGCATAGATTTGAGGAAAATTCATTCTTCCCAGTTCAAAAACATTCGGTTAAAAAAAATTTCCATACTTAAAAAATATAACTTAGCACATTTTCAACTATGTTATTATGCCCATCTACTCACTCATTTCAGCTGTGATGAGACATTTCCAGTTTGCTATTTTCCCTTCTGTAAAATCTGTTGTCATTGGAAATCATTTGGAAATCGTGAACATTTTTAAACATCCTCCCCCCACCAAAAATGCAATATGATGTATTTTTCCTTTTTTTTTTTTTTTTTTTTTTGGAAGTACCTGCCTTCAAACTCATTGTCAAACACACATCCTTAACTCTGCTGCTCAGGAACTTCAGTGCATTTACCACAAAGCAATATGAACTTCAAATAAACAATGTGGATCAGTACTCTCTGTGGTCCAGGTAGGCCTTTGTTTGCTTTGTTTCCTATTAGTTTTAATGAGCAGCTAGAGAACCTATCAGACATGTTGCACAAAACAACAAAAGAATCTAAATCATTTGTTCAAAATACATTCAGTGGGATGACTCCCCTAAATAGAACTGGGTGTGTGTGTGTGTGTGTGTGTGTGTGTGTGTGTGTGTGCTGTATTTGATGGGTTTATTTACTTGCTTCAATAAAATTCTGTGTGCACACCTATACAATTGGGGATTTTCCCCCGGAAACTAAATTAATCAGCACCCGAACAAAGCAATGAAAATCCACCATGAGAGAGAAGCCCGGAGCGTGGGGCTACAGAGGTAAGAGCCTGGGAAGAGACAGGGAGACGGAAGAAAAACCAATTCCACAGCACTGTTCCTGAATCAGACTCCTTTACACCTGAGGGTTCTGCCACACACCGGTTGATGTTGGCTTAACCTACTGGCTTGGCTTTTGTTATGCAGGTCCCCAAATAACAGAAATTCTAGGCACATCTCATAATAACCATTTTTTTTAGGAAATCCCACTAAATACTCAAGATGGTAACAATCAAATGTCATCAATACAAGGGAGCTTTACTGTGCGTGCAGCCTCTGCCTGGGAAGGACATATTAAATCCGGGTCTCCCCAAAGGCAGAAACATGGGGGCGGGGGGCGGACAGGGCAGGGCTTTCTCCTTGGGAGACATTATGATAGAAGACACCAAAACCATAAAGCAACTTTGAAGACAATAGATGAGGTAACTTCACATAAAACGTGCTCTTTTTTTTCCCATTTCCACAGAAGAAAAAAAAAAATGCTGACACCTCCTCATAGTTGTACTCCCAATTTATTTTGCCACAGTTTTTTGTCTTCTTTTCTTCCAAAAAAAAAAAAAAATCTTCTTGCCTTTCTCTAATCCTAAAGCAAAGACAAGGGGTAAGCCTTRCACACAAGGGGAGTCTTGCACACAGCATTGATACCACAGAGGTCTTATAAATCAGCTGAAAATCAATAAATCCTATATGGTAGTCTCTGCTTTGCAACCATATTGCCAAGGGACAGGGCTAATGCTTTTTCTCTCCCACCATCCCCATTTTCCTGTCATAAAAAAAAAAAAAAAATCTGCTTAGGAACGAATGGGCAATAAAAGTTGCTGAGTAAGTATTTCGACTATCTAATTTTATTACTTTCCAATTGACATACCTTCCCTCTGGAAATGTTTGCAATTAATTAATTAGTAGTAATCTTCCCCCAGAGACTAATTTAATGAATACTCTTTAATACTTACTTTAAAAAAAAGAAAAAGAAAAAGAAAAAGCTTAGATGTATCCAAACTGCAATGGGTGGGTGGTGGGTGACTCCAAAGTGCATTTTGAAAAATCAAGGGATCTATTTATTACTGTGATTTTTATCGCTAAGTCAGTCTACCCATGACTATAATTCTTTTTCTAACTAGGAGTTTCCCGGGGTTGAAAGCAAGGTTTCTCCAAGGTAACAGCATTCCGCAGTCGCGGCTGGGTTTGTGAGTATTTAGAATGGCGCTTGTTCTCGTGTTAATAATCTCTTAGAGTCGTCTGCGGTTTGTGGGTTCTTTAAGCTCCTTGAGAGTTCTGCAGAATCCGGGGAAGAAAAGAGTGGAGCTGTGGAGCCAGAGCTGTCATTCTAAGGAGGTCACTGGCCCTGGGGCCTACCAGTCCCCTCTGCAAGATGCCAGAGGCAAGTTAGCGGTGACAGATTTCCCGGCCAGGGACCCAGACCTGCCTGCTACTGGGCTTCCTCCACCTGGCAGGAACCCAGCTCAGCTCCTATCCTCTGGGCCACACGGTCTTGGGTTTCCATTAGAAAATAAAACTGAGCCCTTGAACCAACCCCTCACGACACCCCGGGGGAGTTGCAGAGASGAGAGCGTCGTATAAAGTGGAAAGGGCGCGGTGACCCGCTGGAGAGAAAGGGAAAGCTTTCTGAGGTTTCTGGGCTTGCAAACTCCACCTGATCCGGCCACGACTCAGGCCTTCCCTCGCCAGATTGGCGGTCCCTTGTCGCCCCTAGATGCCGTGGGTTAGAGCCCTCTGAAAGGCGTCTGGGGTCTGAGACATCAGAAGTGCAAACCGATGATTGAAATTGGCCGCCCCCTGTGCCGGGGCCAGCCCTGGCGGATGAAGCCCCCTTCCCGGCACCAGCGCACACCCACCTCCACCAGGCCCCTCAGTGTCCYGTGACGAGGACCCCTGGGAGGGGAGCCCGGGTTACACCGCTGGCCCAGCCCAGCGTCCGGGCGGAGCGCAGGGAATAGGCCTCCCGCCCGGAGCTCTCCACTGCGGCTCGCCAGCGCCACCCCCAGCGGAGCTCAGCGGCTGCAGCCCGGCCCCGACGCCTTCCTCCTGCTTCCCGGATCCCCCGCGGACCCAGCGGGCGGAGTGTGCCAGGCAACCAAGCCTCTCCGTCCGAGGAGGATTTGCCTAGCGCCACGGGCCCCAGACTGCAGTTGCCAAGGGTCAGACTYGGCGCTTTTCCAGGCGGAAACCGACAGGGACCAGAACTTTGTCCTGGAGGGGGCACTATTCGGCGTCTTGGAGGGTCAAGCGGCGGCAAAGAAGTCCCAGGGTCAGGGCTCTGGCAAAGCGGAATTAGCCAGAGTCCTGGGGAGACTGAGGAGGGAGCCGGATCCCCAGGACAAGGATGGGCGGTCCCGTGGGGTCCACCAACGCTGCCCGGATCCGCTTCCATGAGCGCCGGGCTGGTGGTGCAACAAACTTTCCTGCAGCGGAGAGGCGGAGGAGCCGGGCTGGGGGCTTCTCCCCCGAGCCTGGGCTCTCCTCCACCTGCCGGTGCTCAGCCTCCGCCCAGCCTTCACCCACCCCAGCTCCCTCCCCCGCCCCGCGCGCCTCTGTTCACTCAGACTCCTCATCCCTCTCCTCTCCCCTCCTCCTCCTCCCTCTTGCCTCTCTCCCCCACTTTTCTCTAGTCTCTTCTTTTGTATTCTCTCCTCCCTCGCCGCCCCGGTTGCCTCTCGCCTCCTCCGGGCCGCAGGGGAGGAGGTGTGCGCGCTGCGCCCGGGGCCTGCGCGGCGCAGAGGGAGGCGTTTCTCCTACTTCTCCCGGGTAATTTGGAGAAATTCTGTGTGTGTGTGCGCGCGCGTGAGCTTGCGGCAAAAAGGGGTAGGATCTAGCGCCGAGCAGAGAGGGTCAGGGTCTTTGACGTTCCTCGCAGATTGCACAAATCTCCCGGAGCAAGAGTGAGCGTGGGTGAGAGTGCGTGCGCGCGCGCGCACTGGCTGGCTGCGCTTAGTACGCCTGGTGGCCCGGGGCCCCGGGGCCCGGGGTCCGTTCTGGCAGCCTGGGATTACCGTGACGTCACATTGAGCCTCTGGCCACCCAGGACTGGGACACCTCGGGAGCTTCACAGCCCGGCGCCGCGCGGAGCCTCACCTCGCCACCGAGCGCCCTTGGGAACCTGCGCCTTCTTCCCTCCCCTGCCCATCCATGGGCCCTTCTGTCTCCTGGACCCTACGGGCTGGAGGGGCGCCTTCCGGAGCGCAGGGCTCGGCAGCTGGGCTGCCCACGGCTCTGCCTCCAGTCGCTCCAAGCGGGCGAAGGAACCGGCGCTGGGCACTCGCAGCGGTGTAAGGAAACCAGACGCCACAAGGCTAGGGGCACCGAACCGCGGGGCTGAGARGGGAACTCCTAAGGGAAGAGGGAGACAGGACAGGGACAGCCACTATGTCCTTCCCGCACTTCGGACACCCATACGGCGGCGCTTCCCAGGTAAGAAGTGCCTTCATGGGGAATGGCGGGCAGCCTGGGTGGAGGGGGTGACCGCCTGGTGCGCGCCTACCCCTGAGCTCTCTCCTCTCCGTGTCCTGGGGGAAGACCGAGGGATCAAGGCCCGGGTAGTGTATCACAGCTTCCTCTGACACCCCAGTCCCTGACTGAGAACGTTCCATTCCCAAGTGCATGCTGGAAACCGTGTGACCGTGGAAACGTGGGCACCCTGACCACGCGCTCAGCGAGGTGGGTGGGATCTCAGAGATCTTCCAGTCAGGCCTCCTTTCTTTACAGATGTGTGAGGTGGCCAGAGGACCCTCAGGGGGGGAGAAAGAGGACTTCCAGTACAGAGCACTGCCCATCTCTCCATATTGTTGCTCATTTGTTGACCTCTATTCTTATCCTGCTCTTTCCTGGGGCTGATCCAAGTTTTCTGCCTCTGGATCCCTCAATTTTCCAAACCAAATGTGGTGGGGGAGGAGAGGGCATGTTGCGCAGCGACAAAAGTCTCATGGGAAAATCCCACCACTGTTACTCAGTTTCTCCCCAGAGTGCCTGGAATACTTTCCTGAGATTTGGTACCAGCTTGACCTTTGACCTGCTGTGTGATCTTGGACAAGTCTATGACTCTCTTTGGTCCTCCATTCCCTATCTATAAAACAGGAGTGGGGGTGATAGGTTGAGATGGTCTTTAAGGCTAACTTCTAGCTCTATCTTTGCAGAGATGGAGGTGAGAACAGAGGTTTGGTCTCTAAATGCGGTTTCTGACCTTCACATTTCCCCAGTCCCCTGGGACTCTGGAACCATAGTAATGGCATAGGAACATCTATAAGAGGAGTTTGAATGAGTTGCCCCTGGGAAAATTCCTGTCCCAGCAGCTAGCAGAATGGGGGCATTTAGTTAAAGTGGAAGGAAGGAGTGACCTGGCAGTTCCCTGCTTCTCTCTGGCTCCAGGGAGTTGGGGGGGGGGGGTCTCTGACCTCCAGTGACCTCTTTGTCATTCTTGTAGTTTCTGGTGTCTGCAAGTTCCAGCGCCACTTGCTTTGAAGCTGCTCCACGTTCAGTCTCAGAGGTGGCCTCCAGTTCCACCCCAGCACCCGCTCTTTGCTGCACACCTTATGACAGCCGGCTGCTGGGCAGCACCCGCCCTGAGCTGGGTGCTGCCTTGGGCATCTACGGGGCCCCCTATGCTGCTGCCCAGAGCTACCCTGGCTACCTGCCCTATGGACCGGAGCCACCCCCACTGTATGGGGCACTGGTGAGTCAAGTGGGAACTGGGACTACCTTGCTAGGACATGCAGGCAATGGGGGCATGCGCAGCAGAGACAGGTGAAATCTAGAGTGTCCTCTCCAGGGAAAATCTAGGAGGGACACAGAGCCCTAAGGAAGGGAAATGGTTCAGATCATGTATAAGGGGAAAATATACCTTCAGAGCACTTCAGAATTTACAGATGGTTTACGTACTCTTCAGAAAGCATTGGTAGTTCTATTATATCTGTGACGTAGGTAAGCCATCCATATTCTCCACTTACAGATGAGGAAGTTGAGATTGAAGTCACAAAGGTGCAGAGGGTCAGGAATAGCTCTGGAAGAAGACTAAAGTTGGGAAGCAGCCCCACTGGTGTGTAAGGGCAGTAAGAACAGCTAGTATTTAACCCAGGAGCCTGCCTAGCCTTTTACCAAATGGTCTTCTCCTGCAACCTCTGGGTACTGTTATCACCATTTCYGTTTCACCAGGGAGAAACGGAGGCAGAGAGTGGTTAAACACTGTGTCCAAGGTTGCACAGCCATGCACATGGTGGGGCTGAACCAGAGTCCTTGACCTCAGCTGCCAGCTCCTCCCCACACTGAGTCCTCCACTCTCTTTTCCTTTCCCACCAGAATCCACAGTATGAATTTAAGGAGGCTGCGGGGAATTTTACGCCCAGCTTGGCCCAACCAGGAACTTATTATCCCTATGAGCCGACTCTGGGGCAGTACCAGTATGACCGGTGAGGATGGGCAAATGGCTGGCTCCCTCCTGCCAGAAAGGGAGGTGGGGTGGGAGGAAGAAGGGAAAGGGAGGGGCAGAATCACACTTCCAGGTGACCCATGCCCCCTGTCGGAAGCCAGGGCTAGAGACTGAGCTGGGCTCTTCCTGCAGGTTCGGTGGGGTAGAGCTGGGCGGTGCTGGACGCAGAAAGAACGCCACCCGGGAGACCACCAGCACGCTCAAGGCCTGGCTCAACGAGCACCGCAAGAACCCCTACCCCACCAAGGGCGAGAAGATCATGCTGGCCATCATCACCAAGATGACCCTCACCCAGGTGTCCACCTGGTTCGCCAACGCCCGCCGGCGCCTCAAGAAGGAGAACAAGATGACTTGGGCACCCAAGAACAAAGGCGGGGAGGAAAGGAGGGCAGAGACCAGAGCAGAGGAGTCTCTGGGCTGCCTAAACAGTGACCCCAAAGGTACCCATATGCCCATCAGCCACCTGATAGATTTCACAAGCCATCCAGCAGTTTGGGGCAGATTTTCTTTGAAGGCATTCATCCCCTGCACTCACCCCAGGGCCTTTGCCCATGCACATCACTCCTCCTGGAATTCCCTGCAGAAACAGCTGAGTCTCTACTTCAAACTGTCAAGCCCCCCAAAAGCGTTAACTCCGCATCCAAGCCCCCGTGTAGCTTCCCAGTTATGCTCTGTCACATCAGCCTGCTTTCTTTCTTTGGCCATCTATCACTCTAAGAACATGCACACACTCAACACCCCTCTGGAAAGCCAACTCTACCAGAAGAGGCCTTACCACTGTGTCCCCTAAATACCCAACACCTAGATGAAGCCTGGCACCTAGTTGGCACTCAGCAAACACTCGCTGAATTAAATAATGTAACGGCAGCCACCTGTGGATGCCAAAGTTGGATGAAAAGAGTCCTTTGCCTTCTTTTTACTATGCAGATCCAGGCTCTCCGTGGCTTTGCCTTGGCTTCTCAGGGAGGGCGAGTCTTCCAAGGGGAGGTGGGTGGGGACAAGCCTGGAGCAAGAATTGTTTCCCTGGGGCGGGCGAGCAGCCCGGGGGCAGGGTGAGGGCTGGCTTAGCAGAGGTGGTGAATTACGGAGAACACCCTGAGTGCGGGGTGCGTGCGTCTTGCTAAAAGCTTCTCCGGGATGGGCACTCCCGCGGATTTCCCCTGGGCCCTGGGCTTTTCTCACTAGCTCTTGATTTGATTTCCTGCAGACGGTACTGCTAGCCAGGAGGCGCAGGGTCTCCCTCTGAGTGACCTGGAAGACCTGGAGGAAGAGGAGGACGAGGAGGAAGCCGAAGAGGAGGAGGCCGTGGTTACTGCGGTGGACAGGCTGGCGGGCTTCCAGAAAGGCGCGCAGTCGCTGTCSGCGACCTGCGCTGCAGCTCGGCAGGGCCGGGTGGAGAGCAGGGAGTGCGGCCTGGCGGCGCCCCGCTTCTCCTTCAGTGAGCCCCGCGGGTCGGGAGAAGCTGACTTCCTTGCGGCGGAGTCCGGGGGGCCCACGATGATCATGCACTACCCATGCGCAGAGAAACCGCGCATCTGGTCTTTGGCGCACACCGCAGCAGCCAGCGCGGTGGAAGGTGCATCCTCAACGCKGCCCAGGCCACAGAGTCCTGAGTGCCATATGATTCCCGGACAGTCTCTAGGCCCCGCCCGGCGACCCACTTTCGAAGAGTCTTCTCTCATAGCCAAAGCCTTCGGAAACTCCACGTTTACCCTTCAGGGGCTGCAGCTGAACTGTGCGCCCTGCCCGAGGAGGAGGGATCCTTCAGTGCAGTGCCAGTACCCCTCCGGAGCAGAAGGTAGTGGGTCCCCAATGGCGCTGGGAGCGCCTGCCCAAAAGACACCCACCCACCACCCTGCCCAGCCAAGCTCAGGTTCAGATTTGGCCGGAGATTGTCCCACGGCTCCCCCTTCAAATGGATGCTTAGAGATGAAAGTTCTAGTCTTTCATTATAAAGCCAGATAATAGTAATGAGAGAAATTGACCTGGGATCCATATAGAAAGCTGGAAAGTTGGACAACCTGTGAATTCATGGTCCAGGGTTCTTCCAAATGCACTAGGTGTGCTTTGCCACACTTGTCTAGCACAAGGGGCTTTCAGCTGGTCTCCTGTTGTGCTGGTACCCAGGGCTGGACAGGCAGCAGARATTTCTGAGACTTCTGAAAAGGTGGGCCAGACACATTCTATAGGTGTAAGGTCACTGCTTAAGTACAGCTGCAGCCCTCTCAGTGGCCACTAAAATCCCTAAGGATATGGACATGTCCCTGCATTCCGTAACTGAGATTGGTGCTGTCCCTGGAGAGGACTCACCTTCAAAGTCTCATTTCCAAGCAGGGTTAGACTGCCACTTGGTGTTGCCCATTTCCAGTTGGTTTATTCTGTGTGCTAAGGACCTGGTGGAAGAGAATTTCACCCCACAAAGGGACATTCCCCAGCACTAGGCAACTTTTAGCAATGACTGTCAGAGTGTGCTCTTCATAGTAATTTCTCCCAGGATTAGCCACTGGTTTAGAAACTTGGRTTACATTGTTATTTGAATATATACATGGAGAGTCCCAGCAATACCTCTGGCAAGCAAATTGCCTCTAGACTTGTGCTTCTCTGTGGACCAGACACAGCTGACCTCGGATTTCCTAAGAATCATCACCAAGTGGTCTTTGGGTTTTAATCAACCTTTCCTTTCTCAGCAGGTTAGCGCAATGGCTGCGATTTGCAGAAGAATCTTGGACACCCACTTTTTGAACTCACCTCTGCTCTAAGAAACTGCCAGACCTTGACAGGGACCAGGAGCTCTCACTTTGCCTAAGAGACAAACACACAGAAACCTTCCTGTAGCAGCCGACCTTGCACACAGAGCCGGTGGCAGGACAGATCTACACCCACCCAGATCCGATGGAGGAGGAGGTGTCAGGGCACCTTGAGGAAGGCGGGGGAAGCCAGGGGGTCTRCCTTSCTTCTCTGGATGCAGGGCCTGGACGGTGCATTCTCCTGCTCACTCCTGCCCCTCACCCCGMTCACTCACTTTGTAGCTTTATGGCTGAGCTGGCCCCTAAGGACCACTTGCGTCTTCTCCCCTTCCCCTCTCCTTGTGTCCTTAAAAATAATCAAGCTGAACCTAAGCTGTGCGGCCTATCTGTGCCAGGGGTGCCTAGAAAGGTCAGGGTGGAGGGCGGGGTGGGTCACAGCCAGGAGCCCTGGGGACAGGGCAGCAAGGGGCGAAATGGACAAGGCAACCCGCAATGGCACCCAGGGCGCCTGGGGTGTAGCAGACCCAAAGTTTTTCCACCAAGCGGCTGAGCCAGGCTGAGGCCCCCCTTGGTGGGCAGGTGTGGGAGGTGACACGGGGAGCGGTAGACATCAGGATATTTAGGAGCAGCATTTGTCCTAGGTTCCTCCTGGGGTTGCAGATTCATGGGGGGAGTTGAATGCAAGAGATGCCCAGGTGCCCGCGCACGCGCACGTGTGGTGCAGGCTGGATAAGGCTGCCCCAGTTCACACCTGGGGTCCAGAGGGGTGGGATTAGCTGGCCAGAAGACGCACTGCTGCGGCAGGGGAGGSACAGGGCAGTGTCCCAGAGGAAAGCTCAGGGAGTGGTGGAGAGGGGGGGGGTGCCCCGCTGGAGGCAAAGCAGCCAGCAGGGTGTGCCTCCAGGGGCTGGGCTGGATCCCTCCAGGACCCTTTTCTCCCACTCCAGGCCCCTCCCTGGGCTAGGTGACAGTCTTCCACATCAGCTCCGARGTCACTGAAGCCAGAAGAATCGCCAGGGCGGAGCCGCGGAGGGGGAGGTTGGGAGCAGGAACCGGGGCAGACTGACCTGAGTCGTCCCCAGACCCTCCCTGGCCCCACCCCTTCTTCCTCTCTGTAGAACAGACCCCCTCGGAGTGGGGAGGGTCCTTAAGGAATCACAGAAACACAAACCTCTTTTTCAGATGAGGCAACTGAGGCCCCGTGGGGAGCAGGTGACCGGCTCAGGGTCATGCGTGTCCCTCCCTGGTGGAAACAGACCTTAGCTTTCTACTCTGGGCGCCTTTTCGGGCTCCTGCTCGCCCACCCTCCGGGAGACCCCCCTCCCTGCTTCTTTTTTGCTCCTGGGCAACAGCTGGTCCCATCCCCAGCCTCCCCGGGGACACTCCAGTCGCCCTCGATGACCCGCGGCTTAGGGTCCGGAAAATTAAACTGCGAAAAGATAAACATTATTTCCAGTCGGCTTTGCGGGATTAACGCTTGTAATAAAGAGCTTTAACCCGAGGTTTCTTTCAAGGCGCTCTCGACCCCACCCCCTCCTGGGGGGCCAGGTAGACCCCTCCGGATACGCCAGCCAGCGGTTGGTGGAGGGGAGAGAGTCCCTTCGCATCACACGGAGTCAGAGCTGGATGGGACAGGTTGGGGAGGGGAGTGGCCTACACCGAAGGTCATGTGGCTTAGCAGGGGCTAGAATGCAGAGGTCGGTTGGTGGGGGACCTTGCCTCGCTCTTCTGCAGCCCTTCAGCCTTAGGCAACCACTGTGAACCTGGACAGGAGGTCCCTCTGGGCTGCCCTACCTTGGTCCCCAGGCCCCCAGGGAGCTGCTTCTCCAGCTCCAGGAACCATCTCTTGACTCAGAGACCGCTCCTCTCTGTCCCAGTCCAGAGCAGCCTAGAATTGTTCCCAAGACCTGGGCCTCACTGGATGGAGACAGTGGGGTATGAGGAAGGCTGAAGAGGGTGGTCTGGAGTCCCYAAGACCTGCTTTACCTTCTCCGTTGCATTTCTACCTGGTTCTGCAGCTTGGACAAGCCCCCTCCCCTCTTCCTTCCCCRGCTTGGCAATTCTGAGATAATCTAGGTCTCCATCCCGTGCTCTGAGTCTCCTCCAGAACGAGGGTGAGCTCCAGGGGTCCAGGCAAAGAGCCTGAGAATGGCCTGTCTGAGCCTGTGATTATCCCAGCCTCAGACCCCCAGCCACAATCTGTTGCCACTATCTCTGTCCCCACTGAGAGCTTCCTGCAAATCTCCCAATATAATCTCCCGGAATCATATTTTTGAATACAGTTTTGATTAAACATCAGGGCAAGGGGAGGGAGGGTGCTTCCTCTGCTCTCCTGGCGGCGGGGGGGGGGGGGGGGGGAGCCTGCCGGGACCTACAGACAACAGGGACCAACTGTGACCTCCGCAAAGTGTCAGTTCGTGCAGAATGTAGAGCTTGAGGTTTAGATTTGCAAACTCCCTCCATGGCTAATGCACCTTTTCCAGGCCTGGGCAATGCCAGGGGGCTTCTCCCCCACAGGGGAGAGRGGATGCTCCTCAGGGAAGTCACCCAGGCTCTTCTTCCTTCATTGATTCCTCTTGTGCCAGAAGTCACAACAGGGACACTGRACACACTAGATCTCTGTGGTCATGTTTAACTCTAAGATTCTCTGACCCTGTCGATACTAATCAGAACCTGGAGCTCTTATCACGTGCCAGGCTCGAGGCTGTGCATCCAGTCCATTTGGTTGCTGTAACAGAATGCCWGAGACCCGGTGGCCTATCAACAAAAGCAATTTATTTCTCCCAGTTCTGGAAGCTGGAAAGTTCAAGATCAAAGCACCAGCAGATTCAGGGGCCGCTGAGGGCCTATTCTAGTTTCCAGGCAGCACTTTCTCATTGCATATTCACGGGGTAGAAGAGGGGAGGGAGATCTTTGGGGTCTCTTTGGTAAGGTCCCTAATCCTGTTCAGGAGGGTCCCAGAGTCATTATCCAATACCYCCCAAAGGCCCTGCCTCCAGATACCATCACACTGAGAGTCAGGCTTCACCTGTGAATTATTTTTTTTAGCCCATGTCCTATCAATGCCTGGGCTCATTTATATAGCACAACAGTTTGAAGACACGTCATTTTATACTTGCTGGTATGACCAAACAGGCTCAGAGAGATTAAGCAGCTTCCTATCATTCAACCAGCAACCAAATAACGAAGCCAAACTCTGAGGAACACAAATTCTTTAACCACTCTCCTCTCCTGCTAATACATTCTATGATTTTTAAGATTCTTTATTTAATTATTAAGAGCATATAATCCTGCTCTGGAATCCTAGGTGGCTCTCCTTCCTTCTCAGGAATGGCCAACAGGAAAGGACTTCTGGTGCTTCCAGGACCACATGCACATCCCAGCTGAGAGCATCCCTTACTGATCCATTGYCCCACTTCCCTGGGACATGACGTCTAAGATCCCCCTGGTGTTTGGCAAAACGTAACACTTGGATCTCTATCATCAAAGTCAGCCCATAGCTAAAGAATCACCCTAGGAGGTGGGCTGAGAGATCGGCCYGGTTAAAAAGCACCCCAGGGGGTCTGATGGGTTTTGGACTTCAGCTCCAGTGGCCAGACCCTAAGCTCAGCAGGAGGGCGAAGGACACCTGCTGTTGGCCAAGAGTAAACCGCTTCCCAGTAACAGGTGCAAACATTTCCGCCTGGATTTAATCTGGATTCACGTTCATCGGGTTCAACCTCGGCCCCCCATTCTGAAGCTCAGAGGCTTATTACTGAAAGAGGGAGGAGGAGGCGCCCCTCCCAGCTGCCTAGATTCAGGATCCCAGGATGGGAAGCTCTTAGCAGTGTCCTTCCTGCAGGGTGGTGTGCTAAAGAATTCTGTCCCCAAACATGGCCACGAAGTCCAGAATCTATTCACATTTGGGGAACTCCAACATCAGGAAAGACCAAATCTCAAGCAAATCAAAGAGTGAGTGGGTTGGGGCCTTCCACCCTTTTTCCTAAGTGAACCAGTTCCAGCCTGAGCTTTAGAAAGTTCTTTCTTTTTCGAAACAAATTTCTTCCCCCTGTAATTTTTGAAATTTGTCTCCAGAATCAGCGAGTCTGACTCCTCTCCATGGTGATTTGTTCTTTCTCTTTCCCTCCCTGATTCTCTCCATCGCCCAGTGGAACTGGCTTTGCCTCTTACTCTGGGCACCAAGTAGGAAGTGGAGGCTAAGGGTATTTTAGTCACCTCCGCATTGCTAGGACCAAAAGACCTKCCATGAACAATTAGAGGAAGAGAAATTTATGTGGGCTCCTGGTTTCAGAGGTTCCATCCATGATGAGCTGACTCCATAGTTCTGGGTCCCAGTGAGGCAGAACCTCATGGCAAAGTGGAGGAAGGAGCTCAAGACATGGCAAGAGGAAGCAGAGAGAGAGAGAACTCTGCTCCCCCAATACAACAGACCAACCCCAGAGACACACCGTAGGGACCTACGTCCTGTAGCCACACCCCACCTGTCTACGTTACTGCCCAGTTAATCTGATCAGTGGRTTAATACACCGATCGGTTTCCACCTCTCATAATCTGATCATTTCAACTCTGAAAATTCTTGTGTTGATCCACACGTGAGTTTTGGGGGGATTGCTCACATTTAAATCATATGGCAAAAGAGACCCTCTATCAGCATAATTTTCTTCACTAGAAATTAAGTTTTACGGGCAGAGGAAGACAGATACTTCATGTTCTCACTTTTATCTGGAAGTTAAAAAGCTGATCTCATGGGAGCAGGGCGTAGAATATTGGTTATTAGAACCTGGGAAGGATGTGGGGGAGGGAGGTGGAGAGAGGCTGGCTAATGAGAAGGGGTGCAGATAGATAGAAGGGATAACTTCTAATATTCTATAGCATGGTAGAATAACTATGGTTGGCAACAACTAATTGTGTCTTTCAAAGTAGTGTAGAGAGGATTTTGAAACTTCCCAACATAAAGAAATAATAAATGAGGTGATGGTTATGCAAAAACCTGGGTGTGTTCATCACACACTGTGTGCATGTATTAAAATGTCACACTGTGCCCAATAAAAACACCCCATACGATTACCCTGCCTCAGCTCAATTCACAATACTAAAGTATGGAACYAACCTAAGTGCCCTTCAACAGATGAGTGGTTAAAGAAAATGTGGTATGTATACACAATGGAATATTACTCAGCCTTCAAGAAGAATGAAATGGAAGTAGGAAGGATGGTAGAATGAGTCGGACATTATTACTCTCTGTGCACATATGATTACAAAACTTTACACCATGTACAACCAGAAGAATGAGAAGTTATACTCCATTTATGTATGATGTGTCAAAATGCACTGGACTGTCCTGTGTAACTAATTAGAACAAATAAAAAAGAAAAAAAAAAGCCAGAGGTGTGTGTTGCGGCGGGTTGGGGGGGACAATTACTCTGTCTCAATTGAATRTTTAAAAATCAATGTTAAGTTCAAGGGGTTGGGGGCAGAGACGCGAGTTCTTGGTCAAGTCTCCAGAAGTCTTTGAGGCTCAGCTTTCTCCTGCCAGGTTGGCAGGTGGCCCTTCTAAGAAATCTTTGCCTCGACAAAGATTAAGAGCCACATTATTTGAGTTTTAGCTGGTGGCAAGAGTTGGTGGTTAAAGGGAAGCTAGCATCAGAGACTTCTGCTTTGTGTGATCCAAGGAGTGAATGAGATCCGAGTTGTTCTGAGGTTCGGTACTGTTCCATGCGGTGACCCACTCCCATTGCCAGTGGCAGCACATCCTGTACTTGGGTGAGCTCGTCTGTGTTCATGGAGAGCACTGCTATAGTGTGAGAATGTCCCACAAAAATACATGGGTGGAAAATGTGAATCCCCACATTTATTTGTGATTAGTATTTGGAGGTCTTTGAGAGATGATTAGAATCAGATGAAGTCATGAGGGTGGGGTCTCCATGATGGCATGAGTGGCTTTATCRGAAGAGGAAGAGGCTYGAAGTAGYTCACTTGCTTTGCCTGGCCATGTGGTGCCCTCAGCCATGCTACGATGCCACAAGAAGGCCCTAACCTGATGCCCATCAGATGCCAGTGTCGTGTTCTTAGACTCCCCAGCCTCCCGTGCGGTGAGCCAAGTAAAACTTCTATTCTTTATAAACTATCCAGTCTTGGGCATTTTGTTATAGCAAAGCAAATACAAATATTCTAATGGGATCACCAGAGACCTTTGTCTTCTGTCGTGGGACTTCCCTCATTTGGGCTGTCTCCAAATTCAAACTGGGCTTTATTTAAATTCTTAGAAAACCTGATCCAGAACAATGATGCTAACTGTGATAATGATATGTGCCTAGAGCTGTAGTTCTTGACCTTGGTGGTGTGTCAAATCAGCCGGCGAGGGGTACTTTTGTTTGATTTTTAGTACTGATACACCAGCAGTACCCCTAACCAATTAAATCCCATCTCTAGGGGGATGGCCCAGCAGTGGTTTTCAAACGCTCCCAGGTGATT